GCATCTTGGAGATGTGCTCTGGTTGGAGATTTCGTTTTGGTTCACTGATCCTGATGAGTTGGGAATGTGTTGGAAATGTCTCAGTCAGGCTATGACTCTCAATCTCTTCCTCTCCACCCTGCCCATGGCAGACACCCTATGAAGAGCAGCTGAGCCGATTCCCTGGGTTCTGCTTTCTAATCTGTATTCCAGGTATGACAAACAGGATGTGTCCTCTTGCATTGCTCCTGGAATCTGTTTATTAAATTAGTTTGGAGTGCTGCCCCATCGGATTATCTGCTTAGCTTTGTGTTTTGGTCTCCCTCCTGGAAAGTGTCTTAGATTATCCTCCCTCCCTCCCTCCCCCCGCAGTGTGGACTCAAATTCCCCTGATCTGAGAGCAGAGTGTAGATATTTTTGGGGGTGTATCTTGGCCTAGGGTCTTTCACAATTGGGAGATTGGAGACTGAAGGATCTGCTGAGTGGATGTTACTATGGTCTGGGCTGAGAAGATGAGGGCAGGGACTGGGGCTTGTCACAGGGCTGCAGGGCTGTGGGGAGAGAGCACTGCATGGAAGAGACACCAAGACGTTGGAACTGACAAGGCTATAATTTGCCTGTGCCTTAATTATGCACCCAGCTTATCTTTCTGAACATCTGGTCTCCTGACTCACCGCCTGTTTTCATTCATTCATGATGGTCTGAAGTCTTGGAAACATTACCTATGATCTGAGTCATCAGGAGTGATCACCTAGAGTGGGTTTTGGAAGGCTGGTGTCAAGCCAGTATTTCAATACTGATGCTTCTCTTATTTAAAACAGGGATATTTGTTATTCAAATGCTAGACCTGGTTAACTGAAAATTTGGGGAAGGAAAACAGCCCGGAGACATTCTGAGACCATCCAAAAAAGTTACTGTGCACAAAGATTGGGATGTGATTCTGAAAAGAGAAGACTGATGAGATAATACTGGTCTCTGGGGTCCCACGGACACACCTTACAGGCAAGCCTTTCTCTGAGCAGGTCCTTCAGACAGGCACGTGGTTCCCAACTTTGCAGCACGTTGGAATCATCTGGGGATTTTTACAAACACCAACAGTTGGCTTCCACTCTGACATTCTGACTTCAGTCGTATCCAGTGCAGCCTGGGCAAACAGGTTTTTAAAACATCCCAGGAGAGTCTAGTGTGTAACAAAGATTGGAGGCTCCAGAGTAGGAGGGAGTGGAAGTGAGCAATTTCCAGTAGCTCCTCACTTGAGTGAGCCCCAGAATCACCTGGAGGACTTGTGTAAACACACGCAGTTGGGCTCCTACCCCTAGAGTGCAGTCTGAGAATTTGCATTTCCACCCGGTTTCCCTGTGATGCTGAAAGGGCCACACTTGGAGAACCACTGGCTTAAAAGAGCAGGGTCTGGCTTTGCTGTTTGTGAGCTGTGTGACCCTGTGTCACCCAATCTTAAGAAGTGCAGTTTCTGCTTTTATAACACACAGCAGCAATGGTGATTATCTGGCGGGTCTCTGTGTAGGTGAAGCGAAATGACATTTGTAAGTTGTTTAGCACAGGGCTTGGCCCACAGGACACGTGCAGCCCACGGTAGACTTTATTGGGGTGTTTTCTTATGTTCAACCGTGCCAGCCGGTGGATGATGTCCAAGTGAGTTTCTGCTCCTGTGGGTCCTACTTTCAGGCTTTCTGGAAGAGGAAAACAATCATTCTCCTGAGCTATGAGTGCTCTGGGGTCCAGCAGGGTAAGCACCCACCCTGGGGGCGCTGGCATATGTTAATTGAGGATTCTCAGTCAAACCTTTCGGCCTAAGCTGGGTGCCTATGGGCTGCGATGGAGGACTGCTCTCCTGACCAAACTCCATGTTACATTCCAGACACATTTAGTGCAGCGAGTTGTGGCTGTCCCGGCGTCACCATGGAAACCAAACTGCTACCGAGGGAGGTGGGCACCAGGCTCTAAATCCTGTTGGACACCACAGAAGGTGTCCTTGAGAGGGGCACTGGGGATCTCCACACCAGGTCTCCTCTTTTTCTCATGCAATTTGCCCAGCATTCTCTTCTCCATATATTTACCTCCCCTCCCCATTTTGCCAAGGAGGGAACTCGGGCATGGCATCCATATCCCTGCATGTAAGCCTGCAGCTCTGCCCGCAACCCAGCACTGCTGGCCACCTCCTTTCTGAGCACCCACGCACTTCACGTGGATAAATCTTTTTTTGTTTCTTCATGGCTTTACAGGTCAACTCTCATGGGCTTTTTGATATTTTTAAAATTTTTCTATTTTTTTTTCCCTTAGAGTGGTACAAATCTAGCTAATCTTTATTGTTTCCACATGGTTTGAGGGCAAAGTGCCTCTATTTCCATTTTGTAGTTTGGGCGACCCGGTGAGTGGGGAGAAGGCACATTTGGGACAGGGCCAAGGAGCTGGGAGACCGGTGAGTTCACTCCATTTCCGGTTCTGTGTGGCCAGAGTGAAATTCTGCCTGTGCCCAGGGACCCTACGGTGTCAGGCCTGGGTTTTCTTCTGCTCTCCCTGGACTGAGAGCTGAATGAGAGCAGAGTTAGGGAATGACAGTGGAGAGGCCATGGGAGATTGCCATGCCCACGTTCTTTCTAGATAAGGACAGTGTCCCAGGAAGGGGAGTTGATTTGTATCACAGAGGATGCTAGTAATGGAACAGAGTCTAGAAGCCCTGGCCCATTTTCTTCCTCACTGGTGCTCCTTCTGTGCCCTGACACACATCAGGCATTTACCTATATGCGGTCTGCGGGGTACCTATTACTCTTGTTTGATATTAATTGATGGCTTTTTTGTGACTGGTGCTGACCCCTCCTTGTAGAGGGAGGTATGGTATGGTCCAGAGAAACCCTGACAGGGGAGCCACACACGCAGCCTCTAGGCACCATGTATAGAACCGTCACTGGTATTGGGCTAGCTGTTTAAAGGAGCTGTGTTGCATTTAAGCCTCCCACCTCACAGAGGCGGTTACTAGCATCCCCAACATACAGATCAGAGAAGTAAAGCAACTTGCCTAGGATCACACAGCAGGCAGACAAGTGACAGAGTGAAGGTCTGAAGCCAAGTTTGGTTGATTTACCAATATTCCCCAACCACTATATGAAACGTTGCCTGACCTTGCTGGCTAGGGAAGGTTCCGACTCGGAGAGAAAGCAGCAAGCTGCCACCTGCCTACCCTAAACCTTTGCAGATTTGGTGTTCTGGAAAAATACAATTGCTTGGAAACAGGCTCACATGTCATCACGCCTAAGGCCACCATCTAACTAACATTGGTGTAAAAAGTGAAAAAAATTCAATTAAGCGTATTATTTCAAGTATGAGCCATCTGGCTGTTCTTATTTTTATTTGTTTGTTTATTTTTGTCGTTAATATGGCTAATGCGTCACTTGGCTGAAGCTTCCCATGTGTTTGCGAAGTTTCCCATTCGCACAGCCCCTTTATGCTTGTGCCTTCCCTCCTTCAGGAGACCGTGACAGAAAGGAGAGACGCGAGTTATTTTTAATTTCGCCACTGAACGAACATCCAGATCTTCCCTTCCAGCAGCTAAGCTTATATGTTTTCTCAACAGGGTATTAATTACCCGGCTCTGGGAATGGCCAGCCAGGCTGCTCTGAGGCTCTGCTGCCCTGCCAGCCACAGCGCAATTGCTCACAGACACAGCAGGATGCAGAGGCTTCAGCAGGGAGCATCCTCCTGCTCAATAAAGGCAGACATGGGTACCGGGTAACTTGTTAAACACATTTATTGATTTCTTGACAGTAACCAAACACAGTGAGTGACCATTATAAACAAGGAAAGAAAGGCATTCGTTTGTATTTTGTGAGATCCGGCTGCACCTGGAGAGAAAAGACACCCCCTTCCCAGGAATTTACAAGGCAAAGTGCATTCCTTCAAGGGAACATCACAGGGGGGATGGCAGTTTTGAAACGCAAGAAATCTGTCGCCTGCTATCTCAGGCTGAAGCTCACCTTGTATGGATGATCGAGCCATGGAGTGGAATTAAAGTTATACTTGCTTAGCAAATGCATTCCTGATTGCCACAAACTCAGTAAAAACTGGCTGCAAACGAACGGAACAGGTAGATGAAGGAATAAGTGAAATCAAAGAATGCAGTTGCATGGAACTGAGGCTTCGCCTGTAAGGAAGGAGAACAGACCAAAGCCAGAAAAATGAAATGAACTCGTTAAACACATTTATTGAGCTGTTAACAATAACCAAACACAATGTATGACCTTTGGAAAACAAGAAACAGTGAATGGATCGATTCTGATCTTGGCAAATCCTACTACAGATATGTGACAAAGAGGGGAAATAATTCCATTTCTTTATAGTCTGCAGTGATATATATACAATGTGTATCTCTTCAATGTCTGTCCTTTTCTTTTTAAATTTTTGAGTAAACAGAAGAATCATAATCTAGAAATAAGTGTCCTTGGCCAACTTTGTCCTGGTTCACCTGTCACCAGCACCCTCAGAGGATCCTAGGACACCACCCGAGATCACTTGATGCCAAGAACAAAGTCCACTTGATGCTGTCGGAGCTGTGTTTCCTCCTCTCTCTCTTTTGGAAGAATTTTGTATGTACAAAGGCTGAAAAGTCTCATTGGGTAGATTTATTAGTTCAGGAAAACAGTATCAAAATTGTAATCAGGTTAACTGGTTATTTTCTTCTAAGACCTCTTATGAATGAGCCTGTTTTTATTTTTTTCTGAAACTTGACTTCCCATCTTGGAGGCCATGTAAGTGTGTCTGTGTGTGGATACGTTTGCGTGTGTCCATGTGTGTGTGTGAGTGCTTGTGTGTGTGTGTTGGTGGGTGTGTATAAGAGATATGTTCCTCTGGCATGGTGTTGCAGACACTTTTCATGAAGAAAGGGCCAATCCAAAGAGTGGATGAGGCTTGAGGGAGGGAAGGAGAGAGAAGAAAGAAGGGGTATCTAGGTTACATCAATTCACAGTTGTAGCATTTCTTCTTGAGATTCTTCTTGGCCTTGTTCCCTACTTGAGGAGCCATTCATTTACTGGAAAGAAAAAAAAAACACAGACACACACAGTACAAAACAAGGCATAGTTGAATTAATGTGAATGAAGTTTGGGGGGGGGGTTACTCCAAAGGGGAAGGGACAGTTCTGGGAATTGTATGTATGTATCCCAACTACCTCTTCCACTTCCTCATAAACCTCTAGGCCTGAGCTCTCCAATACGTTTGTTACCACTCACACGTGGCTAACATTAATTAAAATTAATTAAAATGAAATAAAACTAAAAATTTAGTGTGTATCATCGTACTAGCCACGCTTCAAATGTTTGACAGCCACGTGTGGCTAGTCGCGACCATACTGAACAATGTAGATATAGAACATTTCCATAGTCACAGAAAGCTCTAGTGGATGGCAGTGCTCGAGACCAGGGGTGGGCAAATGACAGCCCATGGGCCAAATACAGCCTGTGATCTGTTTTTGTAAATAAAGTTTTATTGGAACATGGCCACACCCATTAATTTACATAATGTCTATGGCTGCTTTCACACTACAACATAAGAGTGTAGCAGAGACCATATGACTCAAAAGCCCAAAGTATTTAACAGCTGGCCCTTTACAGAAAAAGTTTGTGATCCCTGCTCCAGACTGTAAGCTCTGCATGGGTCATATCTGTCTTCCTCACCACTGTATTCCCATCACCTAGCTAAGTATGTGCCTGGCACCTAGTAGGTGCACAACAACTAGGTGTTGAATAAAGGGAAGGTTCAATGAATGAGTTGAGTATTTTTCTGGTAGTTCTGGCTAGAAGGGAACAGAAAATTGTAGTTTGGACACTCTGCATATATCTGACAGAGAAAAAAGAGGGAAATGTGGGGGAAGCAGGAGAGCTCAAGTGGGGGACCTCGGGGCAGCAGTGGTAGCTGCTTCTAAAAGCTGCTTGATAACATCCGTAGCTCCCATATTTGGGCAGCACGTTATTGCTACAAAGGGCTTCCCCACCCAGGCTCTCATTTGCTCCTCACAAGTCATGAAGTAAATGGTATAGGGACTGTCATGAAAAAAGCCAGGCCCTGGGGGAAATGACTGTTGGGTTTACATGGCTTGGTAGTGACAGAACCAGGCTTGGAGCTCAGGTGTGTGGATTCCCTGCTGAAGGCATCTGCATGACTTTCTTCTGTCTCCATCTTCCTTTCCATGTTGAGGGTTTACCACAATGGCTGGCAGTTACTGAGCATGCATAAGGGAAGAGAGGGAGCTGGATATGGACAACAGGGTTATAGGAGGCAGGAGTCATCTTAAATGTTCTCTTTAGTTGGGATAATAGTCACTTCTAGAAACACAGCACTGGAAAACGATGTGCTCACACATAGTTCCTCATTGGATCCCATTGGCCTGGCATCCAGAACATTTGCTTGCCTTTTGGGAGAAAGGTGAGTGGAGACCACCGTGCACATAGCTAAAAACTTGAAGGCTTCTAGCTGTCCTGTTCTAACAAATAACACTGGAAAATCAGCCTCGTTGGGCCCTTGGTAAAATGGCAATAAAAATGTTGTCTTATGGCTAAGCGAAATCAGTCAGAGAAAGACAAACACCATATGATGTCACTCATATGTGGAATTTAAGAAACAAAACAAACAAGCAAAGGGAAAAAGAGAGGGGGGCGCAAACCAGGAAACA